TCCTACTTTATTTCACTAACATTATCTTAGACAAAATATAATTGTCATCCATACATTTATCTCTAACACCTTCAATCTTTGGCATTGTAACAGTTTTGGGATTTATTATATCAGCAAATAAGTTATCAATATCAACAAATGCTTGTTGTTGTTTTTTCTCTTAAATGGATGTACTGCTACTGGTTTGCAGAAAACAAAAAAAACTTTCTATCAATGGGAAAAAATCGCATTGGTTTTTCCCGGGGAGGGGACCACTAACCCGATTGGTTTATTTTTATTGGACACTGTGTGATGAGATCAACCGACCGAATTCCACCACTGTCTACACTACGCCTCATGTCATCAAAAATTGTCACGCTGTTGACCCAAACCTTACTAAAGATCTATTTGATATTTTAAAGGCTCTTACGGAATTATACGTTTTCGTCCTCGCTAATTCATTAAATTGCTCGCGGTACTCGCAATTATCATCAACAAAAATTACTAAATTACAACTGCGGTATCCCCAACGTCTTATCAATTTACTTTCCTTTTTAAGATCTTTTTCAACTGAAAAATGATGAAATGAGCTTTTATGAATCAAATGTAATTGAATGTGTAAAGTTTAAAATTACTAATCTACATTAATAGATAAAACAGATTGATTTATTTTTAATGGAAATGTTGTTTTGCATGGAAAACTTTGTGAAAGAGATAAGTGAATAAACGTTTAATCACTTATATACAATAACCTACATTCTTATCAATACTTACAGTAACATTGAAAAAAGACGCTCTTTTGGATCAGTAGGGCATAACAATAACCAATCTGACAGGCTCAGTTTGACAGTGCACTGGTAGCCAGATAGCCAGTCGTTTTTGGAATGTATTATGTTTTTACGGGTATTGTTAAAAATCACTTTATATTATGTTTTCAAACTTCATATCTGGAACTACATGTTTAGTAATGTGTTTGTCTGTCTAACATGTGGTCTTTCATTTTCTGGGATTTAACTTCGGTTAAACATGCCAAGCATTTCATCATGATCAGAGAGGCGCTCCTTTTGCTGAATTGTCTCTAAAGATAGGTAACATACGTGTAAGATAAATATGAAAAACTACACAGAACGATTTTTATCAAAACTGATGCAAAATTGCCACTATTCACCCATATTTGTCTTTTACATATTTTAATTTGAAAGAATTGTATTCTCAACGATGCCTTAACAATGAAATAATCATTAAGTTTTGCTTGAATTCGGGTAATTGGAAATAATTGGATTGTTATATAATAGGCATTATACGAAATTTTGTATTTCATTAAAGCAGTTAATTACAAGAGAGACAACCCTGGTATGTCATAAACTCATATCTATACCAGTTTTCTCCCTTTAAAAACAGTTGTTTTCTGTTAAATTTTTGTTTGAGTTAATTTCCATAATAAAGTTTACTTTTAAAACTTATACAAATATGAATGTATGTTCAGGAATATTATGTTTTCGTAATATTTAAAGGTTTGAGTTGCTTTAATTAAGCAGTAATTTAATTTTTCTCTTTTACCATCTGAGACACAAGGAAGAAAATGGCTGCCAGTTAAAATATGATGCAATGTTACTAATTGTTGCTTTCCGTTGTTCCGTCGAATGACTTATTTTATATCTATTATTAATTATTCCTCAAATCAAGCAAAAAGTATTTGTACACTTAAGTGGAAAAAAATAGACAGGTGCAGGCCTGCATCCTGTCGGCTTCTTAAAAGTCAAGTATTAGTCACGTGATTACCATTTGACATTGTGACTTTAAACATATTGTGAGATCAATATCATTTGATTTTAGTATTCAACTGATAATCATCTTTTGATAATAAAAATGTCGACAAATGAAATGTTCAATCAAAGCCCCTTCCCTCAAACTTCCAATTGGTAGAGTTTCAAATATTAACTATTAACTATATTCCAAGAAAAATTACTTTTTAGAATATCGTGAGTGCTGGTCTGTTCGTGATTCTCGTGATTGCCTTCAACTCCCTCTCAATAGATTGAACACCATGTAAGTAATTTGTATACTGTATTTGTCAATAATTTATTTTATATTGAATATCATATTTGAGCCCAAATAGTTCAAGATTTCATAATTTAACCTAAAACAAAAGATTGACAATTTAAGTAGCTTTACAACACTTTACAATGTCCATCGCCATTTTTTACGGTCGAAATAAACAAAAGAAGACAATGTGTGTACAATATATATTTAATAAAGATAGAATTCAAACATTAATATTAACAAATTAGTTATTTATGTAACATTAATGTCATTTTCATTATGTCATAGACGAAGTTCAGAGTTTATTGAATTTAAACTTTCATGTCTCCAGATGAGATAGGTAGATAGGTAAATAGATAGGTAGGTAGGTAGATAGGTGGGAAAGTTGGTGGACGGACGGACGGACAGACATACATGTCAGACAGACAGACAGACAGACAGACAGACAGACAGACAGAAGATAGATAGATAGATAGATAGATAGATAGATAGATAGATAGATAGATAGATAGATAGATAGATAGATAGATAGATAGATAGATAGATAGATAGATAGATAGATAGATAGATAGATAGATAGGGAGATAGATAGATTTATTTCGGCATAGAAAGCATATACATAGTTCACAACATAACATAGGATAAAATGAATGAGCATTATTAAATACTATATCACATATGAGAAAACTATGACATGCTCACCAACACCAAGGATAACACAAAAAGGTCAAGCCCTTATTTCCATTGTGGTCCTTTGTATTGGCGGCATAACATAAAGAGGCAGACCTAAATATAATCATGTTTAAATGTACTAATTAAGTCATAAAAATTTATATCACAGTCAAGTCTTGATTTAATGACACTCCCGTTTACAGCTAGGATTTAAAACACATTACTAAAATTGTAAAAAGATATTAGCAAACAATTTAAAATCCTGAACCGAAATATGTAAAAACATAGTAAATAAATGCTGTTCATAAGGTGAGTTTTGATGGCAACCTTAAAATTTTGCAACCTGTTGATCTCCGTTAACTCTACAGGAAAATCAAGCTCGAGAAAAATGTTTTAAGATTTTCAGACACGTAATAAAATGATTCAAGATTCAAGTATATCTAATGATTTACATGTTATTTGCAATTAATGACTGATTTTGCGGTACATGTGACAATCACCATATTTGTAAGTATTGCGTCTGATTTTGTAATCTTAACTTGGCATAATTACAGAACATATAGAAATAATAGGTTGAAAATGATTTTTTATACGAGACTATGACAAAAATATATAGAGAATGATATTGCTGATTATACGAAACAAATATAAAATTGCTGATACCAGAAAAGGAGAATAATATAGGTGATATAGAACAAAATTGTAATAAAAATATGACATACAAAACAAAACAAAACTGATACAAAACTATTGAAAAATGATATTTCTTAAAAAAAAAACAATAAAAACAATATAAGAATGATATCTCATCAAAACAAATAGAGAATGATATATCTGATACAAAAACAAATAGAAAACAATATATTTGCTGATACAAAACAAATGCTGATAAAAATAAACAGAATGACATTGCTGATAAAACACAAATAGAGAGTAATATTGTTGATTATACAGAACAAATATAGTTCTTTTTGCTGATGATACAAAACAAATATTGTACGATATTGTTTTATTAATGAAACAACTTTACACACTATTCTATATAACATAAATAAGAAAGTTTTACGGTTTTTTTATATACCAAACATTTCATAAAAAAACAGGCAAGCAAGAAACATGAGCGTGAGGTATTCAATATAGGTATCACAGTATAAGCAGATTAAAACTTGCATCCCCGTAAAAGGGATATAATAAATATTTTTCCACCTCTTAATTAATATGCAAAATTATTTACATTAAAATTGTATATATTAAAAAAATAACAAATAACGCAAAAAATGATAACTTTTAACGTTTACTAACAACTATTTGTTTGAACTGTTAACTTGAGCAACTTTTAATGTACACGTGAAAGTCTAAAGTCTTTATTAATAAAGACAACGATTAAATATCGATGACCTATTACATATTATGTTTATATATACATCAGCAAAACTAGTGTGTTCCAGAATATAAAAAACAAACAAGAAAGCAATTTAATATAGTTAGTCAAGTACAACCAAACTAGTTTGAAATATACAATTGCTATTCAATGAGTTTATCGACAAATTGTCTCTCATATAATCTATTTTTCCGCTGAAATTATTCAGAGAAACTAGGGTCTTTGCCGTGGGTGGCAACTGATTCTTTGTTCATACAATCATGAAAAAAGCTTTCGAACACACGATTAGAGGAAGAGGGTCGATCGCGCTATGACCATTGATAACCAACTCATCGAGGTGATATTTGTTTTCACAAGTTTTGGTGTTACTGGTATAAGTTGTTAATATACCAAGTAGCAAATTATAATATACACATATAAAGTCTTCGTAAGTGAAGACAACGATAAAATGTAAATTGGCTATTCGGTGTTATGTAATATTATGTCTAAAATACTCTATTACTGATGCCTCGAATCTCACCTCATAATGCCATGGTTTATTTTCATGTCTGAAGTGAATAAAGAAATTTGAATTTGAACAAATTCAGGTGGTATGTAAGATCTTAACATATTTCAAAATTTGTAATATATAAAAACAAAATAAAAAATCGAACATTACATACTTGAATTACAAAATGGTGTAATCACAAATATAAAGTTTTTGTAAAAACAAAATTATATAGAATTAACAATCTGGACAATAATAATTGGAGTCATGTAAAGGAAAAAAAAAAAAAAAAAAAACTTAAACTTATCAACAACAAGTAAAATATCGACAAGAACAACGCGTTAAGAATAAGAAATTAACAAAAAAAATAAAACATAAAAAAACACATAAAAAATTAAAAAAACACCTAAACAGGTAAAAAAACAAATACCTTAATATTTTTGTGTTCAATATCATAAAACGAATCTTAAAGGCACAAAATCGTATGCATTAATTTCTACTAGTTCGTAAGTAATGTACTCATGGAGATAATCAAATGTTCTAATTACGAAAGCTGTAATTAAAATGGGGAACGTTTGCTGCAGGTGAAACATGTACCAGCAGGTTCCCATGAAGTCCACATAGGATTTTAAAATGTTATCATGTCAGCAGCTGTTGGGGCTCGGCTCAGTCAATTACCAAGGAATGAAGTATTGATTGTGCTAAATTTTACGATCAACGTCCGTTGTCGCTATATCCCATTACATTCATGATTCACAATAAACACCATTCTCTCATATTTTCTATGTCAAGAAAAAAGCATCATTATCTCATATTTCTATAATCAAACAATCTAGACACAATTGGGATGTGGACCTAAAAACGCTTTTGAAAATCAAAATAAAATGTATATTTGTCAATTCCAGCACATATACTGATCATATAAAACTTTATATAAGCCATTTTGAAAAAGAAATCATATTTCAACGTCTATAAAAATATACACACTTGGGGTGTGGACCTAAAAACACCTTTAAAATCCAAATAAAATGTATATTTGTAAATCCCAGCACATGTTCTGGTCTTATATATAAAAAAACTTAATATGAGCCGTTTTGAAAAAAAATCATATTATATTTTTAAATGAAAAAAATGGCTCTTTTTAACATTTTACCGTTCTAATTTTTTATATGTGATATATAGAATATTATATTCGTGTAAATTCAATACTAAATTATTGAACTCGTTGTATAAAACTCGTTCAATAAATTTAGAATTTAATGTACACTCATTCAATATCCTCTATACGTTTTTTACTAATATAAGTTATCATGCTGATGATTAGTTACAAAAGTTTAATGGTAGAATTGGTTTCTTCTTCAACTTGGTTGATTCCTTCTTTTAGTTTTAATGTTGCATATGAGCCTTTCTTTTGAATGCTTTCCCCAATTACCATTGAAATTAACTGTACGTTATCTGGATTATCTTGATCGTCTGTACAAACTATTGCGCCACTATCAAGTTCTTTACAGAAAACCTCCTTTTCCTTTCCTTCAGTTCCTTCAGTGATGTTATCTTCGACAAAAATAAAATTTTCATCCATACATCTATCTCTTACACCTTCAATCTTTGGCATTGTTACAGTTCCACGTCCTAATGGTGTCCACGCTCCACATATTTGAACTGGAAGCCCCTTCATTTGTTCCGTGGTGTATGTAGTTAAAACACCTTTTGCACTTTTGTTTTCTGATGTTTTATATGTTGTGTCGAATTTAGATTTATCCTCCTTGAAGGAAATTGCCGCAATATCTAAGACAATTTCGTGATTATCAGCAAATGATTTATCAATATCAACAGATGCTTCTGTTGTTTTCCCTTCAGAATGGATGAGTGCACAGGTTGCAGGACAGTTACCAATGTTAAAGACATGTCGAGACACTAACCCGATTGTTTTGCTTCCTTTACTACTGCATGACTTAGAATAACCAAATCCACCTAAAGTTCCATACCTGGGTATGCCATTACCAAAAATTGCTTGACCTTCTGACCCAACCTTACAAAATTCTTTGATATTCAACGGTTCTACGGAAAAAGATACGATATTGTGATCCCTCAGAAGCAGGTTTTTCAGGCTAGTTTTTAAATTCTGCGGATCGCAATCTTTATCTACAAAAATGACTAACGTGCAACCGCGGTATCCGCAACTCCTTATGGACGGACTTATGTTGTGAAGATCTTTCTTCAACTGAAAGCAGTAAAAGGTTTTAAAAGAAACACATTCAGAGTAAAATGTAAAAAAAACACGTTGAAATACAGGTGACGTTTTCGTATATCATGTGTAAACGAGTATAGCTACAGGTACGTATAATATGTTTCTTATAGTCTATAATTCTGGTGAAAATCTATTTAAATTTATGCATACAAGTTATTCTCAAAGGAAATTGACTTCAAAAATCATTGTAATAAACTCGCTTTGGAATTAAATTAAATCGTACGACACGATAATATAAATGTTTAGCCCAAACCTGTTGAAAATGCAAATATTGATAATATGAATAAATTTAATGAGTTGATTATTCTCCATTCATTGTTCTATATGAATTTCTATAATGTTTAAACCATTCAGGTCTGGAAAGCTACCTGTTTGCTGATCTGCCCGCCCTGAAGCACTCCCAGCTGTGGCCTTTCATTTTTTGGAACAGAACTTCGGCTAAACATTCCAAGCATTTCATCAGAGAGGCGCTCTATTTTCTGAATAAGCTCTAAAATTACATGGTATGAATTAGAGATTTATAGGTGCAAACTTGCTGTTTAAAATATTGAGATTATATAGAACTACATGTATTTCATTAAAAATGGTACCATGCATCCATATTGTCTTTAACATATTTTGATTAGTAAATGAATTTTCTACACGATATCTTAATTCAGGAGTTATTTTCAAGTTCCACTCATGAGGAATTGTTTGTATTGAACATGATAACCTACGCCTGATTTTGTTTTTGATTTTAGATTAAATGATCATTTAGTTTGTCCGTTCGTTAAACTTTCAGATATGTGTAAGGTAGTAAGGTAACGGATATATTTCTATCTTCAACTAGCATTTGAAGGGAGGTTAACGAAATAAGCTCATCAGTAAGTGGGAACTTCTATTTAAATTTTAAAAATTACCTTCATCCAATAAACAATTCTTATCACGAGTTACCGGCAACTGCTTCAAAATGTGTCCTTTCTTATCCTTTTGTTTCTGCTTTGATTTGTTTAAATCGTCCCGCAGTTTCTTTATAAATGTTTTTGTATATAGTTCCCCTCTTTCAGTACCTTCTGGTAAATATATAATGCAATTAATGAATCGTCAGTGTTTATTTTGAAATACATGTAATTAAAACATAACGAGACCGGGGACAATAATTTCTAATGTAAATCTAGAAATTACTCATACAGAAAGACAAACCACATTTTTTGAAATTAACAGTATTTTGACTGAGGCAAAACAGTCTATTTATACAAAAAGAGTATGTTGACAAGTTGTTTCTCAAATAAGCTATGTTTGCAAAAATACACTAATAATCATTTTACATTGTAATAGCATACCAGATATACTCTTCTCCATATATGATGTAGATCGCTCTAGAATAAGGTCGCTGGTTGATTCATCCGCTGAAATAAAGGTCAGCAACTACATGCTAAGGGTTAAAAGTTTATATTTTCGTTTCTCTTTAAAATAATAAATCACGTAATGCAGCAAAACCAAAAGAATAAGTAGCACATTGATGAAAAAACAACAACAAAGTTAAATTATTAAAACCTCATACAAAAATGATTGCTATATTTTATGCAATTACACTTGCAAAAACAAAATGTACATACTTCTGCATATCATGTTGTCTTCAGACTTCGAACGTTTAAGAGATGACACTGGAAAAAATAATTGCTTGCAAGTTTTATTTACCATAGCTCATTTTTCTCTATTTTTTACTCTCCGGAAAATGATACATTCTTCTCATAATAAATATAATCACAAAAAATCAACATAAAATATAATTTTTGCTTTTATATCAGAAAACAATACTGGCAGATGACTTTTATTTTGTTAAAAAAATGAATAAATAAATAGAAAAATGAAAACATAATTATATAATAAAAAGAAAAAATAGATATATACATAAAAATAGACAACTTCATATTGTAAAGTTATCTCAAAGAAAATAATTAATTACATGTAGCTACTAAAATACTTTATTCTTCATTGTCTGGTAAAAACATACTTTCTTAAAAAACAAGAAAACTTAATGCCGACATCAGTGTCACAAATACCTTTCTGTTTATCTTTATCGACATGAAATATGGCGTCCAAAATATGCAACAGACATTCACATTTATTCTTCATTTCTGGGGCTTTGTACAAATTCAATTCCATTAATTCGCTAACTGTTTTGTAAACTTGTTCTTTGGAAACAATCTGCATTTCTTTAGTGGCTTTTTGATTATCACTGCCTCTCAAGCAGATAAGCTTCACGTTCTTGCCCTCTGGTATGTCATCTTCATTCATATCAGAAGCAACAATAACAACAAAAGATTTTTGGAGACATCTTTTTTGTGAAAGCTCTTTAACAGTAGCGCATTTTTCTGTAATGCAATCATGTAAATGGTTTTGTTTTGTTACATTTCTGATATCAATATCTCGATCACCGTCCAAGGATTGTAGACATAGCTGGAACGTCTGTTTGTTCATGCGATCTTTGAAAGGCATCTCGATTGGGGTAGTCCATTTTTCTAGTTGGATCTCATTGGTAAGATCATTATACCTACGTAGAAGTGGTTCCAAGTGTTTGCATGCATAATGTACCCTTGGGTAGGCAGAGAATGGAACGGTGTAAATCTTGAATTCCATTCAAATTGTTGTATGATTAATGATCCATGTTTGCGAATTATGTATATGACACAACTGGAATAATAAAGGTTGAACAAATTATGTTATGAAAGAATGAATTAATTTGTTAAATAATAACACACACAACTAGCCTATTATAGCTGGACTTAAATTTACAGCTTTGTGAGTTAGAAGCAATGCAATTACCTTTGTCGTTGACAGCATTCCTTATTCAAGTATGGTATGTAATATATCAAACAAAACTTTAAAGCCTCTAAATTATTACTATTTTAAATTGTATGCCTATGTTTTATAATATTAACGCTACTAAATTTCAAAATTGTATCAATTTTATTAAACACCATGTACATATTATTAAAAGGAGCCTAGTTGTTGATCTATTTGCACTACATATTGACGCGAATTAAACATCGCATTGCTCAAGAGTGGTAGAGACATTCATAAAAAGTTGGCGAAGATTTACAATTTCAAATACATGTATCTATATACATATAGATATGTTCGGAACAATCACGCCTCGGTAAAAATAACGTTTCTCGGGTGTATGTTATTTACAATGATGTGATATTTAGTCTATATGGTAATACATGTAAGTGTCATGATCTGGACAAGGCTTGTCAAGTTGCCGGCCATGGGCGGGTATTTAATGTACGGCTATTCCGGTCAGACTGCAAACACATGTTAGATATATTTTCTTGCATATTTTACCATATTGTAAATAGATTATCTCATTAAATATTATGATATGAATATTGTCATTTATATAAGTGAAGATTTAATACCTAATTGATTGAAAAGATGAATAATATCGTTTTTATTCAACGAGTTCAATAAATAATGGACGATATTGATACGTGTTGCGTACATGACCCGATAAAACATTCCTGTATATGATATGACATATATAATATATAGCAGATGATAGAGTGTTCTAGAACAAAATATTTTATTCATCATGTATGTTTTCATGATAAATCACTTTACAATATTTTTCTAACAGTATTTAATAAGAATATACAGATGGTATATTTCTATTGCTTTTAATTAATTTGAAAAATATGAGTATTATAGGCAAATACACGTTAAATATGTAGCACGCCTGTTCAACGCACACCTTTAACATCATCGGTGCTTTCCTATTAACCAGGTGTTCAATTTCCGATGCTCCTGTGTTGAGCTAAATCTTATTTCATTTTTGAATATATAAATCATTTTTATAAAATATTTTCAAAACTGAAAAAACCGTTATTCGACCTAGATATTATTACGTGTATTTACTATTTCAACTCAATTGAATATATTTTAAGGGAGTAAAATGCCAAATTCTGCGACAAGTTTACTGAAAACAGTGTGCATCTTGTCATTTTACATGTAAACATCAGAGTCATGTGACCTCTTAATTTTGGTCCAAATTTTACTTGTATGGACTGCAAACAACTTCTATTAAAGTATCAGTGTCAGCGAGAAAATACATCAACATATATTTAATTCTTTTGTCCAGTGCTGAAGGTGTGTGCGTGGTGTTAAGGTGTGCGTCTAAATTAAACTACCTTTGTAATTTGGTTACAATGCATAGTGTAACATTTTAGCATAACTTCGAAATGTATTAGTTGATATGAATGCATTTAAGCTACGGTTACACAGAGATGCGACTGCGATGCGACTTCATTGGGACTGATTTGTCGGCGACTGAAGTTTCAGTTGGAACTAGTCTGTGATTTCTCGGCGATTCGTCAATTCGGCTCAGAGACGGCGGTCGGTCAGAGATTTGTTATAAATGTTCTGCGACTAGTCAGCGAATGATCGGCGATCCGTTTCTTTCAGATCAGCGACTTATCGGCGTATTTATGTTGTAAAATGCAGAAATCAGACATTTATCTACTAGTTGTCTGATTCTTTGACATTTTCATCATGTTTTGGGCATTATTGGGTTTCTCCAACAGACATGACACTATCTTTGTCTGAATCATCAGGCTCGTCATGACTAGGACGTTCTTCAAGACGTTCTTCAGTGGTTAAGCCCATTGTCTCTTGAATTTCAGGATCTTGAGGTGTTTTTTTTTCTTTGCTTTTCCGCCTTTTCGAACCATTTCGATGTGAACTGCTGAAGCAACCGAGGTAAAATGAACCTGTTAAAATCGATAAACAGAGGCGGAGCTACTGAATGCAGAAGGATTGGTCTGCGCATTCTCAGAACTGTGTTCTGTCATTGCCGACTGATAGCCAATAAGTTGCAGCAAAGGTTCGCGAAAGGAATTCGCCGCATTACGGCTTTAAGTCGCCGTCTTTTTTGGGCGAAAAGTCGGAAATTTAATTGGGTTTTAAAAACACTTCCCCGACTTGATACCCCAAACGTCGGAAAACCTTTGCTGCGACCCCCATTTTTGGGGAACGTGTTGCGCCCTCTTTGCGACAAAATTTAATTCGCACCCAGGTTTTTGAGCATGTTAAAAAAGATGGTTTTTTCTTGCAATTTGCGGCGTTTCCATTAAAACCCTTTACACAAATTTTGGGGGAATTTTTTGGGCCCTTGGATTTTTGTTTTTTTACAACGCAACTTCGATGCTCGCAGTCGCAAAGCTTTTAAAAACTGGGCCTTTAAAAAAAGAAGTCATTCAAATTTTCCCCTTTCATTTAAAAATTTTCTATAAATAAGAAAGGGGTGGGACTTGGGGGGTTTTTAAAAAAGGAGAATGGCCGGGCCGCATACACATGAGCATTTACACAATAAAACAATTTGAATACCACGCGGTCATGCGAGGAGGGGCGACTACAGGTTTATGTGTAGTTCCTCCCCTAATTGTGCATAACCACGTCATCTTTAAATTGTTTCTTGCAGTGAATGTTCATATCGCAGGTAACTCTTGTTTATGCTGCCGACCCATGTAAATTCCTGGTGAACAAGCAAGCCGGCGTCAATGGTGAAGCAGCTTTCACAATTGCAGACGAACTGCCCTCTTTCTTGTGTTCATAACACCTGCAACGTTACAAAATAGATAATTACTCTATATAGAGCTATAAAACTTATTTTAGAATCATTTTAAGTAATCAACGGTATTTGATTGCTATTACTTGAAGACAAAACAAATCCTGTGTATTCTGTCGTTTTGTCAAAATAAATTTATGCCTCTTTAAGGAACAAGTTTAATCTTACGTCTTTGGTTATAAATGCGGACAAATCATACAATATACACAATTCATACTTCAATATATGTCTACGTTATCAAACGAATATCTGTGTCGGGCTATGTTAGCTTTGCTGTAAAACAGTTTGCTGCAAAACTTTCACTGGACATTACAAATGTGGATTCTCTTATTCCATAACCCGGGCTGACATTATGACCCTTGTCCTCATGCTTTGCACATATAATAGAAAACAATATAAAATATGTTAACTTTATTGTAGAGATTTAAAACTTAATTAAAACCCCGTCAACTTCGTTATTTTAAAGAAACAGAAATAAAACACAAAATGCCTTCATTGACTGTTATTTGTCAAATAAATACTTACCAATACTTTAAGCTACTTAAGTCGTGTTCGTTAACTTCTGGTCTTTCGGTTTCCTTGCACTTTTCATGTATTTTTTTCGTGAGCAATCCTTCCAAAGGACACACCTTTTTCAAGATTTTTACATACCTTTCTGTTTTTCCGTTTTTACTTCTGATGAAATCGAAAACAAAATCTAATTGTAAATATAAAAGCTTGTGGACTAAGAAAAATTGTATGTAGCGTAAACTTAATGTAGAAATGAAAGAGATAAATCTAAGGAATAATTCGCAACAACGGTGTCCTTAAACATGTTCCGATAATTACATATGTTATAAAAACAAGTGATTAGGCATTCATTATTTCGAAATAAAAGAAAATTTTTGATCGGGATTCTTAACTCTTTTCAAATAAATATTTATTTCCTTTCTATGTATATGTTAATATTAGAAATCATGCGTGAAACTTACTATGTTGTTTTCTCGACGTACTATCTAGAAACTGCTCGTTTTACTTACTATACAACTGCAAAGAACATTTTACTCATTTTATATGACCTTCTACGATAAAAGACGTCAATGTTATCGTTGATTTTGTGTTTTCAATGTAGGAAGAAAGCTTATTTTTAGTAATTTTGGTACAAATTATATCGCCTCGTGTGAATTATTAAAGCTGCATTTGCAATTTTCACATAATTTAAACAATGTTCTCGAAAACCATAAAACGTAGGATAATGGACTTGGTATTGATATTTGAAGAAAGTTACCGTGTATATGAGGCCAGGTTCAGTGTGGATAAAGTAACGTTTCTCACATCAATTTTATAAAATAATGAGCTTACTGAGGCTCAGAAGTCTATATATATATATATATATACATTGTATTAGCGGATTAAGTAGAGAAATGCGTGCGTGGATTCATGGAACAAATGATTGTTCACACATCATATGATATGGAATGACTTTTTAAGGTGAAATACGTTTTTAACACATGCAACCATCCTACTTACTAAGATATGAAAAGACGCACAACTGAAGCGCCATGCGCACACCTGAACACCAAACAAAATAGAACAACACAACCTACCCTGGTTTTTCATAATTTTTGTGCACGCTAACATCACTGTAAATCACAAACCTGATTTGAAGCAAGTGTGCGTTGAGCAGGCGTGTTACTGAGCATACGCCTTTAAGAAAGTGAAACTTGAAATGTTGATTTAGTCTTTCGTCTACCTTTCATTAAAACGTTACACTTATTAGCATCAAATTTTATGATATCCATTCAATATTGATTTCCTTTCTTTTTTCGTTTAATTGAGGTGCGGGAGTGGGGTGATACAATTTCTTGCCATCGACTGGTTAAAAAAGATATTATGTTAATACGACGCAGATATGTGTATAGATTTCTAAAACTTAAAAAAAATATATGTGTGACAGGTAAGACTTTAGAGTAAAAATAATAAATTGAAAAAATAAATTTATAAAAAAAATGATTATGGATACAAAATAAATTCTGACTTACCTTTGTAGTTTAATAATAAAGGAACTATATTCTTAAATAATTT